TAAATGATTAGTGCTGTTAGCGCTATTGAACTCTTTAATATTTTTAATAGCCTCCCAAAAATCTTTTGGGTTTTTATTTTCCAAATTCATTAAATTTTGAAGTAACATCGACTTGAATTCATTTTTCTTAAATTTAACTAGTTTTTTGTAGTTTTTGTTCAAGTTTTTTCTCTGTATTCTCAAGTTTTGATCAAATGGAAATTTGTCGAGTTGTTTAGAAATATCTTTTAGGCTTTTACGCACTTGCTCTAGATCACCGTTAAACCATTTCTGTTTTTTACGTATACCGCTTTGATTTGTTTTCCTAGTCTTAATTTTAATAAATTTCACAGCTTTATCACATGCACTATACATAATGTTATTGAATGCTGGGATAGCTTCATTATTCTGATCTAAAATGTTTTTAAGCAGAAAAGTTTTCATTTTATTAGTTGACTCTTCAGAGTTAAGCTGTGTAATGAAATTAACTTTAGATGTGCTATTCCAAATGTATTTTTTGTATGGATTTAATGCAATGTCATTGCTATTTTTTAGAGTAAAATTAGTCTTGATAGCTAATGATAGTGAGCAGTGGTCTGATACATGACTAAGAGTATTAACTTTTAAATAATTAATCTGTGGCAAAAATGATTTTGATATATATATATTATTTCATAAAAAACAGTATTCTTCTTATATCTACATCCCTTTTTTTTTTTTACATATGTAACCAATTTATTTACACAATTTTTAAATATGGTAAAAAATAACCATTTTCATTATTGTTTGATGTGTGTTTAATGTAAAAAGTAGTTTGGGAAAAACTGCATGAAGTAAAACCATATTGTAAAATTCAAGGCATTCTGATCATTTGTTTTTCTAATATTTTCAAATAATAACGTATGAAAACATTTTTTCATCACTTTGAATCACTATAGCTATTTAAAAAAAATTTAATTTCTTTTGAATGCTACCAGTACTCAATATTTGAAAAATGAAACTGTTTGTCTTTGGAAAGACTTAGATGTACCGGTAGTGCATAATTTGATTGTTAATTGTGTCTTATCAAATGCACTTGAACCATAGATTTAACAGTCAGTGAATAAGCCCTCCTCCCCAAAGTGTGCGTCATTTTGTATGAAATTATTACCTTAACAACATGATAAATATGTTGTGCAGTAGCACTGGTCAATAAAACTCTAACTATCTACTTCAATATTTTTTCAAGCAATATTTTATTTCCAACTATATCTACATGCTGATATATTACCCCTTATCGTCTCAGTCAGTGCCACACATTTTACCTCAGTTTTATATGGAATGAACAAATTTGCAAAATTTGCTCGGCCTTTTTATTTCCAGTCCACATCCCACTCCTTCTAGGTTATACATACTTCTAAACAGGAATATCTTTCAGGAATATCGGTGCCATCACAAATCATGCCAGACAAATCATCAGTACAAGACAAACCATCAGTAACGCCAAGGATAGGCAGCGGTGATGGTGAGTTATATTCATTTATTCATTTATCAGCTACATGAAGCCATGAATAAAGCAGATACTACAGTCATGAAAATTATTTTAAGGGTGTTTGATACAGTTTCAATTTTGAATCAGCATACGATAGTGAGTGTGCACAAGAGAATCCACAATCCATGCTACTGGTAGTTCAAATATAGGCTTGTTTGAGGTTGAGCATAATGCTAATTGGGAGAAACCCAAGCATGTTTTATTTTTTTGGTTTATTTCCTCTTCTTATGTATTGAGAATAACTTGAAATTTGGTGCAAAACAATAGAAAATCTCAAGTTTTCAGGTAACATATACTCAAATATACTTGAATATGGTAGTTATAGTTTCTACGTCATACACTCTTTGTGAACGCGAAAATAATTTCTTTCGAAATAGCACACTAGTGTGGTGCTAACTATTAAAACTTGCATACCATTTCAACAATGTCATTTATTGATTTGTAGAAATTTTGTTCTCTAAAAATCATATTATTAGCCCAAGTTTCAAAATTTGTTTTCATATTTGAAAAGATCACGTTTTACTTCTTCTCTTAACTGTGTAATATACCATGTGATTTTCTCAAAACTGCGTCGACGACTTCCATTTTTTTTATTATTGCTAACAAATTAAAATGGAATAATTTTCCATTATACAAATGTACCAATAATGAGAAATTTCTCAATGTGTATGTGCAACTGTATTGAACATCTTTGATACAGCTCTATGATGAATACAAAATTACTCATTGACAAGAAAATGTGAGCAAAAGTCATTTTAATGTTATTGCCATAATAATGATTTCTCTTCTTCAAAAAAAAATATTGTTTGCAATTGTATTCTGAAATTAATTATAATGAAATCAACTTTTTTCTACCATTGAGCCTTCAGAAAAAATGATAATTCATATTCATGCTTTTGTCATTAGGAAAATTATTGTCACCCTTCTACCCTGCCTCTTTATTTGTCATGACACAAACTTCTTGTGACTGAAACTGAGATATTGTTATTTTAATTGTAGGGAGTCCAACTTACAGAAGAAAAACAAAGAATTCATTCCAGAAAGAGCTAGAAAATTCATTGAAAGACAGAAAGAAACGAGGTCTGAGTGCTGGATTTAGTGATCTTGATATCAGTGATGATAGTGATGATGGCATCGGTAGTGAGGACGGTATGTCAAACATAATTATTACAAAGGGGAGTCGATCTACATGTTAGCTCTTTATGTATATGATTGTCTATAATTGAAGAGAACATTGAAAATATTCCTCAAAGGTACTTTGATAATGAAGTCCTACATCTTGGCAATGCTCCCCAGTGCATCTCACTGTGTGACACACTATTTTTGTTGTAAGATACTGTTAAGACGAACTTATACAACCAACTGTTGTCAGTTGATTCTACTTATTAGTTTTAAAAAGTCGACTGACTGAATGCAAAATAAGAAACCTGCCAACAGGTTTATCAACTGACTGCAGTTAGTCATGTATTTTTACATTTTCTCATAATAATCATGGATGTGATCCCTGCACCACAATTAGGCTTTTTTTACATATACAATGTAATTTGTGAATGTTTCCTTCATATGAGCAAACACCGTTGTGGCGTAGATGTTCTCTTCAATGTTACACCCACAATGCATTAGAAAGAGCATTTGATATGCATACTGTAAAAGGATTAATTATTTACTGGGTTTTAATTTTGCTTATTTCGCTGACTGGAAATGCGCAAAATTAAAACCTAGTGAATATGTAAAATTTAGCATAGATTACATTAATTAAATGGTAAATCAGCGAAATTTAAACCCAGTGAAAATTAGTCATTTTACAGTAGTTGAATAGTTCATCATGAAGTGGCAACTTAGAGTATAGGATTTCAGAAATTAGTATAAGTTATTAGTGACTAAAGTTAAGTTGATTGTTTTTGCCTAAATTATAATACAATCTTCTTGAGAGACTTGCCGTTCTGTGCAGGGATATCTCCACGCTGGTCGGCGGAGGTCGGTCCCTACCAGCACTCAAATTTAGCGATCACCACAAAAAACGCTTTCGACCAGGACAATTTTCTGATTGTTATTATAATTACTTACCGATCGGGACACATTCTGCCAGTCGTGGATTAGAATTTGTATACAATTAACCCAGTCCCATGATGTGGTAGCGGTATATAAACAATACTAGTAAATTTTATAAAATTAGCACCTCATTGTTTGTAACAATATACAGACCCGCCAGAAAGTATTTACGCACCTGTCATTTGATCGTTTTCGTAACTAAAAATAACAATTCCGGGTAACATGATGTGTTGACTTTAAAATATACTAAATTTAAGAAGAACTAGTGCATTTTAGTCAAAATAAAATGGTTGATTTGTGTTTAGTTTTTTTGTATGTAGACGTTTTTTCAGTGAGCGAAAATCGCCATGGTTAACTCTATGGGAGCGCGCTCATTTGCATATAATTTGCATCTCATTAAAACTTCGCGCCATAAAACATGTGCGATAGTCGTGTCCTTTCTCATGCTAATTTGAACCAATTGGGAAGCTGAAATTATTTCAACACGCGCTTCTGGGCGGGAATACCTGTCAGTTGTAGTTCATGAATATTCCTATTGAGGTCATAGTGTCAGATACATCATTTTTATTTACAAACATTGAGCCATGCCGAAAGTTAGAGAATTGTCAGATTTACTAAAGGGAACATTGAAGCACTGTATACAGAAGGAGTTTCTAATAGGGAAATTGCAAGAAGACTGGGAATTTCTGAAGGCTCCATACGTTTCAACCTGCGAAAACTTCGTCTTTGAGGTAGTATGGGCAATTGTCGTCGATCAGGTCGACCAAGGCGTACAACGCAACGCGAAGACCGGCTATTCATCAGGTCTAGTTTAACGAATCGGTTTCACACCGCCCGTGATTTGCGTGCCAATTTTTATCAACTCACTGGGAAAAGATTGAGTTTGAGCACTATAAAATCAATGACTATATAAGGATGGTAATCTTCGCGGCTGTGTTGCAAAAAAGAAACCAAAACTACAACCTCGACACATCGCAGCGCGGTTGCAATTTGCCAGGCAACACATCGACTGGACTCCGGCGCAGTGGGCTCAAGTTATCTAGTCGGACGAATCAAGTTTACGGTGTTTCGTAGCCGTGGAAGATTATTTGTACGTCGGAGACCAGGTGAAGAGTACGAGCTGAAATGCATTAAACCTACAATAAAATTTGGTGGCGTCATGGTGTGGGGATGTATTTCGGCTACCGGCTTAGGGTCGCTGGTCCGTGTACCGACGACCATGAACCGATGGAAATATTTGGATATCCTGCAAAACGAAATGATACCGTCGGCACTAAGACTCGTTGGACCCAATTTTCATTTCCAACAGGATAATGCCCCCGTTTACACAGCATTGGCAGTGAGGGATTTTCTAAATAATCCACAGGAGTACAGATATTTTTTCGACAACTTTACCACTTTGAATTGGCCTGCACAGTCTCCAGATTTGAACCCCATTGAGAACCTTTGGGAGTTGATAGATTTAGAGGTGCATTCCCGACCAGTTGCTAACATCGAGGATTTATACGTGAGTTTAATGGAAGCTTGGGGATAGTTCCAGGTGAACATGTGTCGGAAACTCATCGATACCATGCCAAAACGACTCAGAGAAGTCATCCAGCTAAGAGGTGGACACACGCATTATTGACAATCGCCGCGTTCTATGTCTTCATGAATATTCATGAGCTTGCGTTTACACAGTATTCTTCATAGAGAATTCGAACGTTTTTTCACTGTTTCGTTCAGACTGCCGTTTTTATTCAATCCTGCATGACATTGACAATTTTGTTGTTTTTATTGTGTGTAAAACGCATATTTTATTAGATATATAAATATATTTATTCAAACCGTTATTGAGTTTATTTTATTGTATGATATCGTAGGTAGTAGCTGCCTGTAGTGTGGTAAGTAAATACTTTCTGACGGGTCTGTATATATCATGGTAAAAGTGGACTGTGTGCAACATTGTAGAGATATTCACTAGTGATGCAATAGTGATTGATAGACAGGCATTGCAGCATCATACATTTGTTAACCAATCATAGCCACAGTGTTCTGTGATTTAATTTTCTGTAAACTAGCCACAGTGTTCTGTGATTTAGTTTTCTGTAAACTAACCACAGTGATGTAAACATAGCCACAGCGTTCTGTGATTTAGTTTTCTGTAAACTAACCACAGTGCTGCAAATATAGCCACAGTGTTCTGTGATTTAGTTTTCTGTGAACTAACCACAGTGCTGTAAACATAGCCATAGTGTTCTGTGATTTAGTTTTCTATAAACTAACCACAGTGCTGTGAACTAGCCACAGCGTTCTGTGATTTAGTTTTCTGTAAACTAATCACAGTGCTGCAAACTAGCAACAGTGTTCTGTGATTTAGTTTTCTATAAACTAACCACAGTGCTGTAAACTAGCCACAGCGTTCTGTGATTTAGTTTTCTGTAAACTAACCACAGTGCTGTAAACTAGCAACAGTGTTCTGTGATTTAGTTTTCTGTAAACTAACCACAGTGCTGTAAACTAGCCACAGTGTTCTGTGATTTAGTTTTCTGTAAACTAACCACAGTGCTGTGAACATAGCCACAGTGTTCTGTGATTTAGTTTTCTGTAAAACTTGATAACTTACAGCTCTGGAATGACCTGTGACATTTACATGTTCACAGGTTGGCCTTTATCTCACTCTTGAGATACCGCGGCATTTCGCAAACGGCGTTTGATTATTATAATTGTTGCGAATACAGTACAATATTTAGACCTGAGGGACTGTTTTATTGGTGCATGACATATACTGTATAATTTCTAATTTTGTGTATAATCTCTAATTGTTTTTGAACATTTCAATCTTTTCTGATGTCTAAATTAATTCTAATTTAGGTTTTCCATAGTCATTAACGCCTATTCAAGAGTAGGATGTTTATTGTGGGTAGCGTGAATGGGTAAACTGCGTTTTGACAATGAGCTCTTATCACGGTAAAAAGTGTTAGATTCATCTTCAATGCTCAGTCTATCTTTCAAAAACAATTTCTTTTTTTAAAAAAAAATTATGCTGTTTTGCCATTAAAATCAATCTAAAGATCGCATGTGTGCATGGAAAAACATGGTGAATATTGTTTCGCATCAAGCGTTTACATGTGACCAAAATCATTTGCTTATGGTGAAACTATAACAGTTTTTTCTTTCTCAATAAAAACTTCAAATATGAATAACATGCATGTATGTGAATGAATCATTACACAACAATTTTGGTGTTACATCGTTTGTCATCATTATTGAATAGTTGTCATTATTTATTACAGAGTTGTTGGCACAGTTTAATCAGACTTCAAAAGAGAGGAAAGATAGACCAGGATCGGCTAAATACAGAGGGGGACCTTTGATGCAGACCATGAAGCAGCCACAAAAGGAATGGCAACCACCTTCATTTGGAGCCAAAGACACCAAGGACGAAAAAGATACAAAATACAAGAAACCAGATGAGGCAGTTTCAACTAAAAAAGTGTCGCCAAAGCCTTCCCCTAGGTCTCTGAGGAAAGAAGATTCAACACCCACACCAAGTCCAAGAAGTCAGCGACGAATAGATGATGAAAAACCCAAAACGAAAACTAGGTTACCATCACCTGATCAGAAGAGAAGTCCAAGGTCATTTTCGTCGGAGACCCGGGGTCAAAGGTCATTTTCACCAAATGAGAAGAGTCCAAGATTATTTACATCAGAGGAGAAGCGGGATCAAAGGTCATTTTCACCAGGAGAGAAAAAGGGCCAAAGGTCATTTTCACCAGACGAGAAGAAAAGCCAAAGGTCATTTTCACCGGATGAGAAGAAAAGCCAATCATCATTTTTACTAGATGAGAAACCTCGTGAAAGGTCATTGTCACCTGATGAGAAGAGAGGCAATAAATCAACATCTCCAGCTGACAAAAGTAGATCTACCGGTATACTGGATTTATTGGGAGATGGGAGCAGGTCATCTCCAGTACCAAAACCCCGCTCCAGAGGCACACCTCAACAATCGCCTAGAACTAAAACAGATACACCATTAGAATCTGGGAAGCAAGCAGCAACAAAAGATTTGTTTGGAAAAAAAAAATCCTCACCTGAACTCAGACGAAAAACAGCAGGAGATATGAACACACATGGACGCACGAGTCCACTGCGAAGAGAAGGATCTCCTGGTAGACAGGAAGATGAACCAACAATAATAAAACCTAAACGAGGGTTACAGAGTGATAGCAGTTGGTCACCACCATCTAGAAGAAAAGAGAGATTACCATCAACAAGTGGTGATGAATCAGAAGATGAAGAGGTTAGAAGTATATCCAGAAAAGCAAAAGAAAAAGATTATAAAGAGAAAAAGAAAACAAAAGGCAGTACTTGTAAGTTTTATGCAGTATTCTCTTGATAAGAGTTCCAACTAGAAAAACACAGAAATGCAGTTATATTGTATTACGTCTCTTTTCATAAACTTATTTACATATCGCATATGCATTTCTTGACTATTTTCAGTTATGCATAAGTCCTGGATTTTTTTAGTTCAAAGATGGCAGCTTCTGTTTCATATTGACCTTTCCTGTTTATTTTTTTTTTTGACGAATGATTTACCATTGTGTATGTTTCTTTACAGTGTTTGGATTATCCTCCGACGAGGACACATTTGGAAGAAGGGAGAGGTCACATGACAGGAGATCACCTGATAGAAGATCACCTGATAGATCATATGACAGATCGCCTGATAGATTACATGACAGGAGATCACCTGACAAATCACATGACAGGAGATCACCTGATAGATCACATGACAGGAGATCCCCTGATAGATCACATGACAGGAGATCACCTGATAGAAGAAGTCCTATCAGCAAAACTGAAATGAGGTCACAATCAAATCGCTCACCATCACCAACAACGTTAAGATTCAAAGATGAATTGGAGGAAGTGGGATCAAAGAGACCCCCTAGTGGTAGAAAGCAAAAGGTAAGACCACCTAGTACATTTATGATTTCTATGTTCTATAATAGTATTTGTGGAAACAGAAGTCATCTATCATAAGCCCTTTTTAATTCACCAAAATCAGGAAAATTCCTGTATTCTGTTTATGATGTTATTATTTTTAAAATTATCTGTTTTGAAGATGTTGCTTGCACATCACCAGTGGTACTGTTTTACTGTTAAATACTATATTTTAGCTGGAATTAATATTTGCTGAAAACATCTTTTAAATGTTTTTTATGGAATTTATTTTTACTAACTTTTGACGAGTTCAATGTAAAATATAAGAAAAAAGGTATATTCGCTGGATTTTATTTTTACTGAAACATTCCTTCAGAGAAAATAGCGAAAATTAATTCCAACCAAAAATAAAGTATTTCACAGTAACATTTTCACCACCAGACTTTATCGCCCAAATTTTTCTGCACTTTTTTTCTTCTATTCTTCAGGAAATGAACCCCAATTTTAAAGCCAACAGACGAAATTTGAGTCAATTTTCAGTTTTCACTCAAAGAATTTGTTTTCTATAAACAGGACTATTTTGTGACTTTATGACAAGAGGTTAATGAGTCTGATTCTATGGTTTAAATATTCAGTTCAACATTTTTCATTTTCTTTCTCAGCTAACTCTAACGTTGTTTATTTTTCAGAGTGTTGATATTAATAATTCTACTAGAAGAATGAGATACATTACTACTGATAGCGATGAGGAAAAAGAATTTAGGTATGTGGTTATTACTGCATCTCAAATTTTTATGTTGTATATTACTTAGGGCTTTTATGAAAGAAGCCACTAATCCTGCTTAAATGTTATTATTCAGTGAGTAGTTGAGTAGTTGACTATGTAGTAGGAAAATAACACAGTGTGGATCTACTAGTATTTATAAATCCAATCCATACCGGTACTGTTTATTAATGATGCTAAATCCTGTTAGAGATTATCATTAGTGGACGACTACTTTATAATGTGCACAGAAGCTACTTGTATTGAACCGATCATTGACTGTATAAAGGGTGACAATACTGCTTGTCATATTATATTACTTTTTACCTTGCTTATATTACAAGTCAAATGAGGGGGTGAGATATCTATCCTCGTTCGAAAACGGGGACTTATGTTTTGACCTCTGTGAGTGCGCGCGTCTGTGCTTTCGTCCGTCTGTGCGTGCGTCCTGACCTGTATCTTAGAAATGCCTGGACCAATCACAATCAAACTTCACACGTACATCATACATGATATTATACATATGCACATCAATTTGTTTCACTATCTGATTCAAGATGGCCAAATGGCAGCCATTTTTGTTCTAAAAATCATCAAAATCAAGCATTTCTCGGCTGCTTACAGGCTGTTCAAACTTGGTATATACGTTGGACATTATAGGACCTTGATGCACATCATTTAGTTTTCAGATAAGATTCAAAATGACCGACTGGCGGCCATTTTGTTTTAATGAATGTGGTTCTAGTGCCATATCTATGACTTGCTGTGACTGATTATGTTCAAATTTTAAATATTCATTATATATGTATTCAAAATGGCTGATTTGGTTTTAATTAATGCTGTTCCAGAGTAATATCTCTCAATACTCGTTTGACGATCAGATACAAATGTCAATCATTTGAATGTTAAACAATCATCATAATCATATTCCTGACATGTTTATATTCCAGCTATATTACTATAAACAAAACTATATATCTTAAATTCGATAACTAACGGGGACTGTGCCATGCATGGCTTGTTGTTTCTTTTTTGCTTGTGGTTACAATAACTCAAACAGTATGTTCAAGTCTATTTGAAACTTAGGTATATTATTAAATATTTTTTTTGGCCAAGTTTGATTTTTTGTGGAGGCATAGTTTTACTTGTTCACATTCCAGTCATGAATTTTTCAGTCAACACTATGATTATTCAGAAAAGTAAAACCATGTCCAATATCCAATAATCATGATTTGACAGTCAAATTGTTGGCGTTTCATAAGCTACCTGCTTCTAATCACTCACTAACATAAGGATTCCTTTCATATTGCAACATTCATCCTAATAACCCTGTAGTACTGAAACCACTGTGACCCCCCAGACCCATTAAAAGTTGCACTATAGCTACAAAGGTCACTGTGACCCTCCAGACCCATTAAAAGTTGCACTATAGCTACAAAGGTCACTGTGACCCCCCAGACCCATTAAAAGTTGCACTATAGCTACAAAAGTCACTGTGACCCCCCAGACGCATTAAAAGTTGCACTATAGCTACAAAGGTCACTGTGACCCTCCAGACCCATTAAAAGTTGCACTATAGCTACAAAAGTCACTCTGACCCCCAGTCTAAAGAACCCATTAAAAGTTGCACTGTAACTACAAAAGTCACTCTGACCCCCAGTCTAAAGAACCCATTAAAAGTTGCACTGTAACTACAAAAATCACAGTGACCCCTGTCTAAAGAACCCATTAAAAGTTGCACTGTAACTACAAAAGTCACTGTGACCCCCTGTCTAAAGAACCCATTAAAAGTTGCACTGTAGCTACAAAAGTCACTGTGACCCACTTGTCTGAAGAACCCATTAAAAGTTGCACTGTAACTACAAAAGTCACTGTGACCTCCTGTCTAAAGAACCCATTAAAAGTTGCACTGTAATTACAAAAGTCACTGTGACCCACTTGTCTGAAGAACCCATTAAAAGTTACACTGTAGCTACAAAAGTCACTGTGACCCTCTGTCTAAAGAACCCATTAAAAGTTGCACTGTAACTACAAAAGTCACTGTGACCCCCTGTCTAAAGAACCCATTAAAAGTTGCACTGTAACTACAAAAGTCACTGTGACCCACTTGTCTGAAGAACCCATTAAAAGTTGCACTGTAGCTACAAAAGTCACTGTGACCCCCTGTCTAAAGAACCCATTAAAAGTTGCACTGTAGCTACAAAAGTCACTGTGACCCCCTGTCTAAAAAAACCATTAAAAGTTGCACTGTAACTACAAAAGTCACTGTGACCTCCTGTCTAAAGAACCCATTAAAAGTTGCACTGTAATTACAAAAGTCACTGTGACCCACTTGTCTGAAGAACCCATTAAAAGTTGCACTGTAACTACAAAAGTCACTGTGACCCACTTGTCTGAAGAACCCATTAAAAGTTGCACTGTAGCTACAAAAGTCACTGTGACCCCCTGTCTAAAGAACCCATTAAAAGTAGCACTGTAGCTACAAAAGTCACTGTGACCCCCTGTCTAAAAAACCCATTAAAAGTTGCACTGTAACTACAAAAGTCACTGTGACCTCCTGTCTAAAGAACCCATTAAAAGTTGCACTGTAATTACAAAAGTCACTGTGACCCACTTGTCTGAAGAACCCATTAAAAGTTACACTGTAGCTACAAAAGTCACTGTGACCCTCTGTCTAAAGAACCCATTAAAAGTTGCACTGTAACTACAAAAGTCACTGTGACCCCCTTGTCTGAAGAACCCATTAAAAGTTGCACTGTAGCTACAAAAGTCACTGTGACCCCCTGTCTAAACAACCCATTAAAAGTTACACTGTAGCTACAAAAGTCACTGTGACCCCCTGTCTAAAAAAACCAATAAAAGTTGCACTGTAACTACAAAAGTCACTGTGACCTCCTGTCTAAAGAACCCATTAAAAGTTGCAATGTAGCTACAAAAGTCACTGTGACCCCCTGTCTAAAGAACCCATTAAAAGTTGCACTGTAATTACAAAAGTCACTGTGACCCACTTGTCTGAAGAACCCATTAAAAGTTACACTGTAGCTACAAAAGTCACTGTGACCCCCTGTCTAAAGAACCCATTAAAAGTTACACTGTAGCTACAAAAGTCACTGTGACCCACTTGTCTGAAGAACCCATTAAAAGTTGCACTTTAACTACAAAAGTCACTGTGACCCCCTGTCTAAAGAACCCATTAAAAGTTGCACTGTAACTACAAATGTCACTGTGACCCCCTGTCTAAAGAACCCATTAAAAGTTACCCTATAGGATATTTCCTTGTCATGCAAAAATTGTAAAAAATGAAAAATTAAAACAATTTACAGTATTTTATCAGACTAGCAAATAGATTGTATTAGCAAATCAGTAAATTCTATGTTTTTATAATCATACTTATCTTACAATAGGAATGCTCGGGAAAAACCAAGCCCTGCTAGATCAAGGACACCAAGACGTGTTATAGAACCTAAGATCCGTACCAGGCCGTTATCAGCGAGTGGTCGTTTATCACAATCATTGTCAGCCAGATCCAGTATCTCCGATCTATCAGCTAGATCTGAGTGTTTTGAAGATTCCACTTCTATCAGGAATGCTATTTATGAAGACTGGTATTATACGAAGATGAAGCAAACTAAAGAGAACTTAAAGAAAAAGAAACAGGCTGAAGAGGAGGAAAATAAAAAGAAACAGCTGGTAATAAAACTTTCCCATGCATGCACTTCAACTACAGTCAAATTGGTTTATAAAGGACAGTCAGTGGACTGAGCCAAACTGTCCTTTATAGACAGGTGGTCTCTATATGGAGGTGGCCTAATTTATTCATTCAATCTTGAATATTAATTAGGGCGAGGATTTTAAGGGAGATCATAAGCTACTAATAAACAAACCTACATATTGTACAATAAATAGGTAATTTTTAGTGAAAGTAATTCAATTTCATCTAGATAATTAAACAATTTTACTTTTTTACTATAAATTATAATGTAAATTTGCTGGAGCTAAGTGATTCAGCCCATGGATTCATTCATGTATTTCATGCTTAAGAACAATGCAACAATTGTTAACAATCGGCCGCATTGGCATTCCAGCTCGGTCTTTCACACTCTCGCCATGCAGTCTTATTCTCCAGTTTCTTACACATATTTCATCACAGGCGATAATCACTCCCATCGTTAGTGTTGTACACTGTATCAAAATGCACATTTTGATTATGTTGCGAATTATTTATTTAGAAAGAGTTTCAAAATAGAAAATCTTTCATTGAGAATGGCCCCGAAATAACCCTTTAGTAACAATACGTGTTGCCCATGCGCGAGTCGGATTAGCATAATTTATAACGATCAACAACAAACAACATGGGGGCCAAAATTTGCAATTCTGCAATGAAAACGAAATAAAAGAATGTTTTATTATTTTGTTTGGATATTTCATGTCGACAAGGTAAATAAAACATCACTCATTTAATAAAACTGATTCATTTTTCTTTGTTCACGATACGGCAGGAATTTGCTTTTCAAGTGCGAGGCAGTCCAGTGAAGTGTCTCTGAAACTTTGAATAAAACTGTTTTAATTTGTTGTTAAAATGCTGATGACATCTTTCCAGTCTCCAGATTGTTAAATTCAGATGATATTCATCGTGACTCTTTCGCAACTTCACAACCCAAGTTGCGATGGACACCCCGCCCGATTAGCCTGAAAGATTGCGTACTCGGTAATCTGAACCTAACATGTGACCACTTTCCTATTAGCGATTCGAAAGTAGCTATTGTTTATTTTGCTGCGACCGTTTAAGTGTGAATAGGTTTACAATAGGGTAGTCGCTGGTCTCGTTAGACAGGTAGTCACTATATACAGTGTCTTCAACATGTAAATTGCGAAGGGACTGCACAAAGGTGGTCACTATAAGCAGGTGGTCACTCTTTACAGGTGGTCGTTAACACTGTTGTTTGACTGTACAAAGCACTTTTGTTATCTCAAAATTATGTTAATGTAGTCAGTAGTCATTTAGAATTCTGTATTCTCTCTTCAAGAAGTACATCTCCAAGAAACATAAACACATATACTAAAATTCATTACATTCAATTACCCACCATAGACTCCAGTCAGTCAAAATGACTATTTTGAACTGTAGGCACTAATCAGCGATTCTGCCGGTGACGGAGAGATAGAATCTAGGTCACAAACCACATGACCAAGGCCATTAACGGCTGGACAATCACTCTGATTTTTCTCCGCCTCCGCCTGGAGATAAAATCTAGCGAGCTCTGCCTGGATCACTTGCTTTTTTAGCTCCGCTGTCGACTTTGTCGAGCGGAGCTTATCATATGACTGATTGTCCGTCGTCGTCGTCGTCTGTGTCAATGTTTTACTTTTTCGACTTCTTCTTGAAAACTACAAGCCTGAATGCTTTGATACTTGGTGTATATGTACCTTGGGTAGACCTCTCTTAGGTTTGTTCATTTCATG